TGAATATTCACTTTAAACGGTCTTAATAAATCATTTATGATTTTAAAAAATTATATAACTTAACAAATAAAATAAATAAAAATAGGGCAAAAGAACTAAAACAAAATGTTTGTTATTTTGTATATCATTATTTTTTAAATTCTGTTTGTTTTAACTAATTGGCTCTTTTGCCCTATTTTTATTTATATTGTTATATACACATAGATCCTTATAATTACTTTTATTTTATTCACGCGGGCGAAAAAATGCGTTATAATTACACATATTCTAATTTTACTTTTTCTTATATCCGTAATCAATTTGGTTATGAAACATGTTATACTTCATGTTTTAATTTTAAGATACAGTTAATTTTTTTGTTTTTTTCTATTAGATTAATTATGCTTACGATACTATTATTGACTATAAATTTATATATCATTTAGAAGAATTTCAAGAAGCGATTAATAATACGTCGTTGCTTATATGGATCTTTCAAAATACTTCTTTATATATTTTTTATACATTGAAAATAACCCGATCAGAGTCAAAATGTTTGTTTTAATTATTTTGTATATCATTAATTTTTGAATTAATTTGTTCGTTTTAACTAATTGGCTCTTTTGCCCTATTTTTATTTATATTGTTATATACACATATAGAGCCTTATAATTACTTTTATTTTAACAAATAAATATACATAGATAATATTTAAATAAAATCCACTTGAAGTAAGTTGTAAGATGCTTTTATTTATAATATTAAGAATTAAATACACAATGCCTCTTATCAGTACCAATAAAGAACTGATTCTAAACTTGATGAAAATTTGACTCCATCTCTCTCTTCAAGATTTAATTTATTCTACAAAGATAGAAGATTTACAAAACGTTGGCATTAGTAATGGACAACAACACGGTGATAATTGCCAAACCTTATAGTAACTTTGAAAAAAATATCCATGAAAGCCTCAAAAGCATTTAATTTATTCTATTCAATCAGTTATTTGTACTGATATACATATATATAAATAATTTTATTATAATAGAATATAAAAATTGTACCTTGCTACAGTATTAATTTCAACATTCATAGTTGTAGAATGCACACGCAATTATGTAAAAAAGAATTTGTGTTTAAAAAACATATTTTATTTAAAAACATGAAAATGATCTTGATAAAACCTTGGCATAAAATTATTATAATAAAATTGCAATTGTCTTTCAAGAAACGTTAAAACAAGATATATAAGAAATATCTTATAGAGAAAATACAAAACAATGTGGAATTCAATTTAATACATATATATGATTCAATTAATTTGAAATTAATCATAAACTTGATCTTTTCAAGTCGGCAGAATTAAACTTATGCTTTTATTAAGCAAAAAAAAAAGAAAGAGACGGAAAGAATTAGGTCTGCTCTTAAAATGATTCTTTATATTACTCTGTCGCCCGCGGGTTGTAGACAATTGAATTTTACGATTGCAAGTCCTTACTGTGAAAAATAATAAATTTCAATAAATATTCAATAACATGGTCCTCGTAATGTTATTTACGATTTATGACATCACGAAAGTACATGTAGGAACAATCAGAATCGGAGGAGCATCGAGAACATAGACAATTCATACGCGTAGGTCTCTAATACGGATGATTTTGTCGCGACAAACACTTGCTTCGAAATAAATGGTATATTTTCCCAGCGTGAATAATTTATTGATCGCCCATACACGTTACGTACCTTTCATATTTCGATCCACCGGCACGTCGGTTCGCATCGCCCATCATCATTGCGTTTAACTATCCATATTAATTACCTCGCGCATTATTACGGCGAGCTGTCAGAAAAGCCTCTAGTTTATCCTGAGTGCGGTCCAGTGCAGTCGAACGATCGCGGCGAGATAAATAGATTCATAAATTTATTATCGTCATGAAAACGTGAACCAACGCGAACAGAGAGAAACCTAAGAGTGATCATTCTGACGTTTTTCGCGTTTGAGAGTTATGTACACTAGCGGCACCAACATCAGATTATAAATTGAAGTAAACTACGTATAGCATTATTGACACTGTTGATAAAATCGTAACGTCGATAAATATAGCGCTACACTCACAAAGAGAATCATGCCCATTTCCAGCAATGCAGATTAATTTTAATCTCGGTTCAATTTGCTCTTCATCTTTTTCTAATTCTAAAAATTAGAAAAAGATTAACAGTAAGTTAAACCGAGATTAAAGTTAATCTGCATTGGTGGAAAAAGACATCAGCCAATCAAAGTTCTTCTTTTCCGTGAAGTGGACGAAAAAGAGGGATTCAGATTGGTTGTTACTCTTATGCACAATAGCCCGTATTCAGAACGCGCTATTATCGATAAAAGCGCGCTTTTATCTCTGAAATTCTATAGTATACGTACCGTAAACTATAGCATGTTAAGCCCAATCTACAATTGCGTAAGCGTAGTTGTAACTGGTTGTAGTTGTAAGAATTAGCCAATCACAATCAAATATGAGGAGAATATTCGATTGTAATGGGTTAATTCTTAAGCTGAAATCACACGGTACGGAATAGAACTGCGGAATAGAGAGTGCGTCATTCAAGCAACCAATCAGTGCTAGAAAGCAAAATGCAGAATAACGCTGATTGGTTGCTTCAATGACGCACTCTGTATTCCGCAGTCCTATTCTGCATCGTGTGATTTCAGCCTTACGGTTACAACCAGTTAAACCAGAAACACATAGAAAAACGTAAGGCCGTAAGACGTATCAGTAAGGAAATCGTAACATTGGATTCGCTACCGGCCTTACGATTTCTACTGTGATTGGCCAATTCGCTTACTGATTACGTTTTACGGCCATACGTTTTGTATGTGCCATGGGCTTTACAATTACGCTTACGCAATTGTAGAATGGGCTTTAGCGCGCTAACATCGTTGTTAGCGCGTTCTGAATATGGGCCTATGTATTATGCGTTATGCATAATGCATAGTGCATAAGAGAATCAACCAATCAGAGTCCTTCTTTTCCTCCCACTTCACGGAAGAGAAGCATTTTGATTGGTTGATTCTCTTATGCGTCATGCAGTATGTGCTATGGCCTTTTGATTGAGCGTTTGACGCTTGTAGTTGAAACTGTTCAAACTATAAAATTTCAGCCGCTAAAATAAGAGCGACAGATCTGTCGCTTCAATTGCTTATTATTTTAGCAGCACGTGAAAATGTACCTCAATGATTAAAGCAAGGTTGTGGACCAGAAAAGCTCTATTCTTGAAAAGAAACTATAATATTCTGTATATTTAATCTTACCTAAATCGCGTTCAAGTATGTACAAGTTTGCAGGGGGTCCAATTTAGAATTAGACATTCTAATATCAAGCAAAAATGTCGACTATGAATATATTCAGATTATTTTAAAACTATCTATATTTATTCCGAATGAATAGATATTATATCGAATGTATCGCACAACAAATAAATTAAAAAAGAAAAGCGTCACTCTTTTTTAAAGCTTACGAACGAAGATATGTAAAAAGCAGTAATGATAACTTACCTCTGATTTTTTCTTTTTTACACAATCATATGCAAATAAATGTTTTGTCTTTGAATGCGCGAAGAAGTTAGAAGTCGTCCTAGAACTTTTTATATCTTTGGACCATTGGGTGCGCTCAGCGGACTCAACAGTCAAGTGAGCGCTCGTTTTTATTGGTATATGATATTCTTTTAGTTCATTTAATCAGAATTTTAGATCTGGAAGAATGCATCAATAATATAGCGAGCGCTCACTCAACTATTGAGTCCGCTGAACGCACCCATAGTTTACATTTTACAAAATTTTGTTTTCTAATTTTGTAAAATAAATATTTCCACACAAGAATTATTGTGAAGTTACGTACACAAGCAATAAGTATTTAGAATTATATACTTTTCTTCACGTGTGCACGTAAGGTGCCGTACCCTTAACGCTTTTGCGTGCGGTAAATAAACAATACCTCAAGCCGTTAAGTTATTTCTCTAATCCCACTCTTCTGTGCAAAAACGTTGCTCTATAGGGCACATTACGACGAGCACTTGTAAAGAAAAATTCTATGTGTAACAGTGGGGGCATATTTGTTTATAGGTCGACACGGACGCGCGTATGCACTCGCTTCGCTCGTGCCGTCGCGCTCGTCCCCACAATAAACAACATTCCCCCACGGTTACACAATGTATTATATAACTTTATAACGTGATTTTTTTCAGTATTTTTATATATGGACATATATTCCATACTCTATAGTCTACCCAGATATAAAATGGTATCACCGACCTAACCTTGTTGACGTTATTTCGCGACTCTGATTAGAGGGTCTCTAGATGTATGAAGTCATCCGAAAACGTTGAATAGCCCTTCAAAAGACTAGTTATTCCAACGTTTCTGTCGCGATCAATCTCAGTACCATTGAGTTCGTATCAAATTTCCTCAAACATGAACGCCACGCAATTAATTCCAAGCTGTGGCTGCCGTTCCGCATTTTCTTCTTTCGACATGAGTCTTCTTTCGACATAGAGATAGCTTTCACAGGGTAACGTGTACAGATCCTGCTGCTGTATGGGTATTCGTATCTCGTCGCTGTGTCCGAACGTCGTGTTCACGTACGGATTGTACGTGTGAGTCTCGATCTTGACGATGCGATCATCGAAGACTGGCTTGTCCTTGACGTTCGGAATGTCGGTCATCTTTCTCAAAAGTTGCGCACCGTGAATCCCAGAGATTTTAAAAACTCCACGTTCGACGTACTGATCTCTACCTCTTCTTCTTTTCGATGCGTCCGGATGAGCGAGCACTGTCGAGCGGTGATGGCCTTGGGTCGTCTCTCTGCTGGTTCAACACGAGCATCTCACGCGCGCGCGCGCCTTATCGCTGTCGCCGTCGCACGTGCAATCTGACGGTGATCTCCTCCCCGCGAAAATCGATCAGCCGTCCGTTCTGATCGACGACGCGTATTGTTAGATCAGTAACGCTCCGTGCGATGATCGGAAGGTAAATGATCTGCGTCGGCCTATCCGATATCTTATATTCCGGTGGAACTTGCGGCGAAAATTCGTGTATCGTGTGCGCGCTGTTACCGTTGCTGTACGCGCCCGCCGTCACGTTGCACTCTACGCGGATGATGTTCACGGTCATTATGTTGACCAACACGTCCGACTGGTACCATTTGCGCGGTTCCAATACACGATTTGAGAATCCCAGCAGCGACCCGATGCTGTTTGGTTTGTCAAAGTTTATTCTGAAGGCGCATACGATCTCGCATCTGATCGTGTTGTAGTTTGCGCGGAGCGCTATCGGGTACTCCGCATCCACGTCGTCGTCGTCGTCGTCTCCACGCACCGCGCCATCGAGCGAGTCGGGCAGCGGACGTAACACCCGCTATCGCCGAAAAACTCTTGGGTACGGTGTACAGCGCGATAAAGATCGCCGGTCCCGCAAAATTCAAAGTGGGCGACGCAGTACGCGTGAGCAAGTACAAGACGATCTTTGAGAAGGGTTACACGCCGAATTGGACCACGGAGGCGTTTTGAATCGTCAAAGTGCAGAAAACTAATCCCGTGACGTATCTTTTGGAGGATTACCGCTGAAAACCGGTCGCCCGCGCCGGAGGATTCTACGAGCACGAGTTGCTTCGCGTCCCTAATCCCGACGTATATCTAGTTGAAAAGGTGTTGCGTAAGAAAGGAGACAAGGTGTACGTCAAGTGGCTGGGATTCGATGGATCGCACAATTCGTGGATAAATAAACGAGATGTCGTTTGAATTGATTTTTTATTCGTATGATTATCACAATATTTCAACGGCCATTGAAAAATTGGGTGGACTTTTATATTCTTGACCGAGCGGAGGATTTTTTGATTATGACCATTGCGTTTTAATTAATTTTGCTGTATGCTGAAGATAACTGGAAGTCAGTCGAAACGTCCGGAAGTTGGATTGGTTCTGTAACCTTAAAATTATTATCTAAAATGCAGATAAAGATAATTAATATTTTTATTATCTAGATAAAGATGAGATGGCATCAAAATTTCATCTAGATGATCATCTAGATAATTTTATCCAGATAAGATCGAACACTGCTGCTAGCATTTTGCTATCTGGGTAAACACTTGTTTTCCTATTTACGTAATTCTAAAGTAGAATAAAGTGTACAGTGATTGACCACTTAAGTGATGAAATTTAATATAATAGCACTGTAATCACTATTAAAATTATTTGAAATTTGAATATGATGTAAAATGAACATTAAATACGATTCAAAGAATATGTTCAAATACAAAAAACTTTGAATAAAACCATGTTTTTTATTTCATTTTTTTTAACAGTAGAAATTTCCGAAAATGATAGTTATTGATCATAGTGGTAATTATTAATGACAGTGATAGATCATATTAGTATAAAAAACATTAAAATAAAGAAAAAAAATCAAAAAATGAAAAAGAGATAAATTTAATGGAATGTTAAACATTTTTTAACAGATTTTTATTAATACTTACAATTTTTTCTCTACCAGGTCTAATATAAGTCTACTATATAAGTCGTAAAAATTGAATATTTTATTCATATATGAATTCAGTAAAAATTAGTTATTACTATGTTGTTGTGAAATTGGCTACTAGTTTGACTTATTGTTAGATTTTAATATGTAGGTAAATTTATAGCAAAAATGGTCAATTACTGTATCATGGTCAATTACTGTGTAAAACAAGGACGAATTTTGCAACTAATAGGTGGGATATATTATCACAATGTGCTATAAAAACAATTTTTTACATCTACAGATTTATTTCTTATCCTTTCAATTAACATTTTCATTTCAATGCAAATAATTTTGAGAGTAATTTTATTAAACAATTGAAATAAGAAAGTAAAATAAAAAGACTTTTCTTATGCAGAAAAATACATTGTGGCCGCTTAAAATTATGATTTATTCATGTTCATATGAATCTCATGTTCATATTTCTTAATCATGAGATTGCATTATTTATTAAGTCTGCTTGGATGGGGAAGACATAATAAAGTCTTCACGAAGTAAGCGAAAATTGCAGTACGATAATAAAGTTATTAAGTAGTACTACTATTTCATTGTTACTTGGAACAATGTTGTTCATTATTATTGTATTAAGTTTAACATGTATCGTAATAAGTTGCATTGTCCAAAATTGTCGTTTGTTTTCTTCTGGAACTGTGAAATCGTTACCAGGACCACTAAAATTACCATTTATTGGTAGCACGTATCATTTTCTACATCGTAATTCTGATGGTAATAGATTCGTTTAGTTTATATAAAATATTATGCAGTAAACATAAAATTTTTTTATAATTAAGGTCTTCAGGAAAAAATGTATTACCGTTAACTTTTTTATATTAAAACAAGTAAATATGATAACGTAATCGGCCGATATTTTTTTATATTAATTCAACTTTATAATGATTAAAAACAGAATTAAATTTATTATTTTATAAATATATCAATTAATTAAACATTTTTACATCATTTTGATGAACTCGTAAGTACTATTTGTCAAAATAATGTAAGGTCCGGGAGAAGATGGCACAAGGAGGAAGAAGCCACTTATTTATATTTATATCGTAGAACATATATTAGCCATTCTGATTGAGTAGAAGTATGTAATAGACAATGGGTAAAAAAGTACAATTATCAAAAAGTTCATGCTAATTGGCATTAAAAAATATTTAACAAAGTACGAAAAGGTAGGTAATGAAATATACTCTTTCTAATAATGGTACGTTAATTGTTATAAGGTTTGTGCATTTTAATGCTTCTGTAAAATCAAACAAATGATAAATGGTTTTGATCAGTGTTTTCTGGCAGTCATGTGACTGATAAAGATTATAATTTGTAATATGCGTAAAAGATGCAATTGCATATTCCTCTTACACTTGAGGGGAAGATGACAGAAATAAAAAACACTATTTTCTCTTCTTGATACCGTTATTAAAACGATTTTACAAATTAAAATTTTGGATGCTTTATATGATTCGTAATATTTCAAGTAAACAAAAGTTATTCAAACGAATAAAAGTATGTCCAACATACATTTTAAATTACTCTATTTCATGTTTTTTCAATTTGTGTTTTATCACATCTTTATGCGTTTTTATAGCTTGAAGTCTTGATTATGGACTATATACATAAGTAAAACATGCAAGTATCGCATTACATTATATTTAAGCAACATCTTCTCTCATTGGAAATGGCATCTTCGTAAACATAGCAGGAATATGTCACTTTATGACGTATCAGTTTTTTCCAATAATATTTAATATCAAAAGTTTAATTCGTTAATTTGTATGAATAAAAAATGTTTTTTTAGAATATAAATAATATTTTTTTATTGGTTAATTCTCTCGATAACATTAAAAAGTTATTTTAGAATAAATGCTTAAGTATGGCGTCTTTCTCCGAAATGCAAGGTGATGCTGAACCCGCCTGTATTATCGATAAAACTAGCGTTTTTGACGTTTTCATTCCAACCTAATTTCTTTATAATAATTTCACAGAATAAAAATTCCTTTTACACGATTGAAATATTCATGATAATGTATATGCCCTGGTCTATATTGTATTTAAAGCTGGAAAAAATTTGAAATTAAAGTTTCTTTATCCATTTTTATCTTCAACATTGGTCGCCATACTGAGGTAATGGATAAAGAAATCTATGATTTCATAATTTTTCCAGCTTTGGACACAAAATATAATAGGAGCAGGTACATTAGCTTATTTAAATCGTGGAGACAAAATTTTTATTTTTAGTAATTATTACGAAGAAATTAAACAGGAACGAAAACGTCAAAAACGCTAGTTTTATCGGTAATATAGGCGGGTTCAGCATCCCTTTAAGTAATTACCAAAAACTTAACATCAAATAAAGTATATCAAATAATTAATAGATAAATAAGTTGAAAATTGCATCAAAATATAAAATTGTTTGTAAATTGTCATTTGGTTAAAATTACGTAGTTTAATTAGAAAAACGAGCTAACAGATGTTTCGACCTCTATTAGGTCATTTTCTTTGTAACATTGAAAATGACCTAACAGAGCTCGAAACATCAGTTATCTTGTTTTTCTAATTAAACTACGTAATTTTAACCAAATGACAATTTTTATTTACAACCAATATTATATTTTAACGAATTTTTTGCCTCGTAGACCTTTTTATCTTTCATTATTTTTAAATATATTGAGCCTTATTACAAACATATTTTAAACAGTATAATTTTTACAAATAATCTCACAATTACATATACATTAAAACTTTTCAGAGTTTTTGAATGTTTTCACTCAGCTTACTGAAACTTATTCATCTCCTCTTCAATTATGGATAGGCTCAAAATTAAATATTATAATATATGAACCAGACCAAGTAAAGGTAGAAAAGTAACATTTATTTTCTGTTGTATATGGATATTTATTAATTTAAGTATTTTATTTTTGTATTATATAGGATGTCCTACCATACATTTTCAAAAGCAAATGCGATTTCAGCACATGAAAACAAATCATAAATGTTTAATATAAACGTATATCCGAACGGTTTCGGAGTTATGATTACCATAAGTATCATACCATATATTGAATAAGTAAGAAAACATAGTAATACATATTGTTTAATGTTCGTTATTCTATTTTACAAAAGATGTTAAAGAGTTCCTCCGACAATATTGGCTTATTTTTTAACATAGATTAAAGAAAAATCACCTGTGACCTATGTTAGCGATTTTACTCTAATAAATTGATACAAAAATATTAGAAAAATATTTTAAAACTAATTATAATAATGAACTCTAAATATTCAAACACTAAGAATTTACAAAGGGCCAATGCTATAAAAGAAATCTTTAATATTAAAGAACAAAAATTTTCTTTTTTAACAAAGTTTCTAATTCCTCGACTGACTTCCGCAGTCATCTTCAGCGATACATTACAATACAAAATTTCATAAAATAAAATTAATTCAACGTGAATAAAAAGCAACGCAAGTTTACAACCGTTTTATATTATTTTTGAAGCACTCCTAACCGACTGCAATCATGTGAAGCCACTCTTCTTAATACATGTTGGAGCAGTGCAATCTTTGTCATAATCCAAAATAACAATTATCTAAATTTTGAACACAAATTTATATACATATTGTATGTTGCTGTAATAAGAAGAGAATTGAGTAGAGAACTCACCCGATGCAATCGACCAAGAAAGTCTCAAAAAAGCTGATGTAATAGTTAAGTATAAAATCTTAATGATACCCTTAATCAACAATATTTTTTGTTGCTTAATCCATAATTTCATCAATCTTAGTAGAAATTCACCAAAAGAAACTAAAATAAATGTGAAAAAATGAAAACCAACGTAATGTAATAGTACCATTATTGTTTCAAGGTAATTTAAAACCAATTATTATATAATAATGGACTATTAATATTCAAACAATTGTGTTACTTTTTATCCACGTTGATTAATTTTGTTTTATGAATTTTTGTATTGTACTGAATCGCTGAAGACGACTG